GTTCTTCTCTACAGCACTTACTGCCAGGCTGTGCAAGTCTCTGCCTCAGAACACAAAAGAAGCAGAATCTTGGCATCTGTCCCATAGGAACTCATAAACCACTTCTGGAAGATGAGATCGATGCTCATACACGGCACTGAAGGTGGGCTTTCAGGTGGGCTGGCCCTAAGTGTTCCTGGTGCTCGCAGAAGAGGGAATTGGGTGAGGCCCGGAGTTGTCAGGAAGGCTTCATAGATCTGGCAGAGGTTGAGCTGGGCTGGGAAAGTTGGGTAGATTTTGAAAAGTTGGAGGTAAGGTTGGAGACGTCACAGGAACTCTGTAGCTCTGTAGGAACACAGTAGGGTACACAATCAAAAGTATTTCTTCCGCTGCCCTTGAACCATTCTCTGAATCCCTCCCCCAAGGCTGGCTGTGCTTCCAGGTTCCAGTGTACACTTATAGAAATACTCAGTGTGGAGTGCCAGGGTGGCTCGGTTGGTTGAGCATTCCATTCTTGATTTCCACTCAGGTCATGATCTCAGGGTCCTGAGATTGAGCCCCGTGTTGGGCTCAGTGCTCAGCATGGAGTCTGCTTGTCCCTCTCCCTCTGCTCTGCTCCCCTGTGCACCTGCCACCTGCCATCTCTCTCATAAATAAAATCTAAAAAAAAAAAAAGAAAGAAAGAAATACTCAGTGCATCTGCACTCTGCTTTCTCTTGTTTGTCTTCACAGACTTATTGCGTATTTACCCAGAAAGGCATCCATTCTTTTCCATGGTGGTGTTATAGTCCAGTGTGTGGATGTAATGGTGTTTTAATCATTTCCCTATTAATGGATACTCTGATTGATTCTAGTTTTTGTTATGACAAGGCTTAAGTGAACACCCTGTGAGTAACGCCTTGCAAATGTCCCAGTGGAACAGATTTCTTCAAGTGAAGTTGCCTCTCAAATGTTATATACCTTTACAATTTGACCAACAAAGGGGCACCTCGGTGGCTCGGTCGGTTAAGCATCCAACTCTTGGTTTCAGCTTAGGTCCTAATCTCATGGTCATGAGTTTGAGCCCTGTATTGGGCTTCATGCTGGGTATGGAGCCTACTTAAAAAAAGAAAAAAAAAAAGAATTCGACCAAGAAAAAGTTCTGTTCATATGCACTCTGACCAGAGTGTAAGAGTGGCTTTTCATCCAAAGTCTCATCAGTACTGGGTATTAGTCATTTAAAATTTTATCTAATTTATGACAGATTTATTGTTCTAATGGTGTAGTTCTTTAATCACTATTGAGAGTAGGCGCCTATTTTTGTACATTTATTAGCCATTTCTATTTCCTCTTCTGTGAATTTTCCATTTTTGTACAGATTGATCATTCTTCCTTTTGTATGTGTTCTTTATATATTAGTGATGTTAATCTTTTTCTATTGTATGTTGCATGTATTTTTCAAGTCTGTCATTTTAAAAAGATTTTATTTATTTGGGGGAGAGAGAGAGAGAGTGAGTGCACAAGGTGGGGGCAGAAGGAGAGGGAGAAGCAGACTCCCCGCTGAGCAGGGAGCCTGATAAGGGACTCGATACCCAGACCCTGAGATCGTGACCTGAGCTGAAGGCAGACACTTAACTGACTGAGCCACCCAAGCTTCCCAAGTGTGTCATTTTTTATTTTAACATTATGGTGGCTTTCACCATAGTAATTTCAAACTTTTATATAGTTCATTAACCTTATTTATAGTTCTCAGATTTGTGACTTGCCTGGAAGGCCTTTCTCCCATCTGAAAATAGCAAAATATTCCTCTGTATTTTCTTGTAGTATTTTTTATCTTTCCTGCACACATACATACACACACTCCACTTAGGTCTTTGGATCTTTAATCATTTGGAAATATGTTTTTGTGGTAAGATACATGGTCTGATTTCCTTTTCTGAAAATAGATGCCATATTGTTTGGACACCATTGGCTGATGGCCCCTTGATTTGAAATGCTGTGGTAATTGTAAGTACAGGCTTGATGTGAACCATTCATCTGTAACATTGATCTCCTTGCTTTAGTCTTGTTCCTAGAACCCCAGGGTCTTAAGTATTGTCACTCTCTTACACATTTGCTTATCTGGAAATGCAAGTCCTCTCACACTATTCATTTTGGAAATTTTACTGGCTGTTCTTATGCATTTGCTCTTTCATATGAGCTTAGTTTCAACTTATCAGGTTTCAGAACACAACAGTATATCCCACTGGGGTTTTATTGGGTTTGCGTTGAACTCAAAGAATTTTTAAGTGGCAGTTGACAGCATCGTAATGTTGGGACTAGATCCCGTGGTCCATGTTTGGTCATGGCTCTTCTTTTCGCTGCCACCCTCCGAGCCACTGTCCCTTCTACACTGAGCTTCAGAAGCAGCCCATCAAGTGTCTCCTTGTGACCACTGGCCCCTCTGATCCCTCTTCACACCGGGTCAGGGCTTTATGTCAGGTGTTCCCTGGACTTGAGAATATTCCCTTTCCAGCCCCTCTTCCTTCAGTAATTTCTCCTCATCTGTGGGTTTTTTCTCAGTTGTCATTTCCTCAAGGAAACCTTACCAACTAGGCAGAATTTCCTTCCCACGGTTGCCTTTCCCTTCCTTATCCCTTCTTCTGAGTCCAGTTGTCATTCCGCATTTGCTCTGAGTTCTCTGAGCACAGGGCTGCGTGTGCCGTTCCCTTGTGTGGTCCCTCTGCCCTCACCGGAGCAGGTGCTCCTTAGTGCCAGTGAGTTTGGTTTTTTCCTCTGCGTCTTCATGTCTTTAAGTAAAACCTTCACAGTTTGCTTTCCATGGTTGTGTCTGTTTTTTGTTAAGCTCATGTCTATAACATTTCCGATTTGTTTTGTTGCTGGTGGGGAAAAGCTGTTGATGTTTGAACATTCTTGTGTCTGCCCTGAACTCAGCCCTCATTGCTGCCTGTCTTGTTGGCTTCCTCCTCAGGCTGGTTGGGTACTGGTTAGGTGCAGCCCCAGCCTCCCCTCTGACCCTAACAGCCTGCAGAGGAAGCAAGAGATCGTTGCCCCCAAAAGACTTCTGAAGAGCAGGGAGGGGCTTTCTCCTCCGCAGCCCCCAGCTCATTTGCTCTCTTCTGTGGCTCAGACAGCGTCCCAGGCTCATTGCGGAGTCCCTCCGCGGTGAGGGCGGGGCTCAGCTTCGCACAGCAAATCAGTTCCAACTTCCCCCGGGCTGACTCCCCTCATTACCAGGGCTGCCGGGAGGTGGGGTGGGGGTTGTCACTTTGTACAACCGGGATTCTGCTAGAGAAGTGGAGGGGCAAACAGGCCCGGGGTGAAAGTCTACACTGGACATCCAACAGAATGGTCCTATGACTTTCCCATCAACCCGGTTGAATGCTTTGATAAAAACCAGAAGATGTCCTGACTTGGAGTTCTTTTATTCCTGGAGTAAATCGTGTGTACCAGTCTTTGAACGTCTGGTTGTGTTTGATCTGCGAGGATTTTGTTTTGGACCTTTTGTCCATATTCATGAATGAGATTTGTCTGTGTTACGGGAAGCCCTTTTAGTAATGGGAGTTACAGAGTGGAAACATTCTGAGATGCAAAGGTCACTTAGTTCCTGGGTCACCTGGCCTCGCTGAGCCTGCTCCTCATTGACACAGGGGGGACAGCCCTGATGGACTCGGGCTGCCGTGAGGAGCAGATAGTACCCATGAAAGAACTGGTTAATGCTAACGTGACGCAGACTCAGAACCCTGTCCCACACGTACACAAGGCACCGTGTTTGTGAGTTTCTTCCATGAGGAGACAGGTTTGGAGAATGCTAACAACGGAGATTTCACTCAGCTTTCTTCATATAAACCAACATCAGAAAACCAGCCTTGTGCAGGAGGAGAGGCCCTGGGAACATGACGGTAAACATTACATTATTGGTGTTCGGATATTAGGTTCCTGCTTTTCATAATATCCTCGGGGTGCGGGGGAAGATTCGGTATTTTCTGGGATTCTGCTGTAAAGTGCAAGTTATTGCTGGTACCGTCAGCCAATTATTCTGTACTTATTTTACTTAGACTGTAGTAATTGGAAAAAGATTAGATGTCAGGACTTTGTATTTTGTTGATTATATTACCAGAGCCTCTTTAATCGTTTCTTTTATTCCTAATATTAATCATGAGCTCCTAGCTGTTAGGAGAAGAGCCTGATGGTGGATTCCTAACTTAAAGAAATAATTACTTCAGTTTCAGTGGGATTGACTGAGTGTTGATACACCTGCAAATTGAAACGTGTTCTCTCACTGTTCGGGGCATGTGGCTGTGACACGGGGAGACACAGAAGGTCCGACGGACCTCGGGGGCCGCCCCCTCAGTCCCTGCCGTGCCCTCTCCTGCCCTCGGCAGCTCCACACCCGCTGGTTCCGGGCCCCTGTGCCCCTGGCTGGCCCTGCCCTCTGTGACCTCCCCACCCGTGGGTATTCGTGGATGCAGCAGCGATTGTAGTAGTCTACCTTGAATAACGTGGCTACCCCCTTGAGCAGTGCTCTGTGAACACAAGCTTATCTCTGTGACATGATCTCTGTCAGAAGCAGTCCTGAGCAAAGCACCTCATATTCGTAAGCAGTGAATGGTGAGAGGGAGATAGGATGCAGGAAAGAAGGGAGCACCGGGGGGGGGGGGGGCGGAAGTGGGGACAAGTGTTGGTGGGACTGAGGGAGGGAAGGAGGGGGCGTGTGGAGGAGGCCTCTACTGCTCCAGGGAGGAAGGTGTGTGGTGCCCCACCTGTCCCAGGGTGGCTCTGGGGACACTTGCCATGCATTTAGTAAACGTGCACTCTGTGTGGCTTAAATGTAGACACTTAGCTCTGCCGGAGTGGAGGTCACTCAGCGTCTCTCGTATATTGAGAACAATCAGTATCTGAAATCTTTCTCACTTAGGTTCACTCTGGTTTCATTTATGGAGCCCCCCTCCCCTCTAGGAACACTGAGGAAATAGGTCAAAGCCCTGTGGGGAGTTCGCTGTTTGTAAACCCTGTTATCTTTGTCTCTTTGTTGTCAACAGAGGAATTAAGGAAGTTGAGCTGGTCTGGAATCCCTAAGCCGGTTCGTCCAATGACCTGGAAGCTGCTCTCAGTAAGTCTCGGGGGGGCCTGGTCACCAGCGCGGCCTGGCCCAGAGTCTGGCCCCGAGTGTGGCCTGGAGTTTGGCCCGGAGTGTGGCCCATCAGCCGTGGCCAGGCACGTGCCCTGTCTTTGTGGCAGTGATCTGGGCCTTGGCCTGAGCTAAGGTGACATTTTCCATCTTTTGCTTCATTTCAAGCTTGGTTTGACAAGGCTGGCAGAAAATGAGGATGAGTAATTATTTATGACAGTTGTATTCTTTTCCTGTGGTTTTATTATTCTAGAAATCTTTGTAATATTTTCAAACCTGTGATAGAGAAAGGATCCATCATGGAAAACTATTTCAATTCTTAGGAATCCATCACAGTGAAATACGTTTGACCATTTTTTTTTTTTTAATGTACTTTACTAGTGATGTAAGGGGGAGAAAGTGATTCTAAAAGTATCTGTGTTTCTTTGATGGAGGGTGGGGTTCTGGTGCCTCACCCCTGGTTCTAAACTGCCCAACTGTGGGGACTGCTGGAGAAGATGAGGTGGGCGGGGTGGAATGGCCATTAGCACTCTCTCTGGTGCTTCACTCCGGTCAATATCTGAAGTGAGCTTGGCCCTGCTGAAAACTTTGGAGTCATTTATAGACAGCTTTCTTCTCTTTCCCTTTTTAAATTATCTTTGGAGCTAAATCAGTAGGGAACTCTAAGTGTTTACTCTAAATTGGGTCTGACATTCAGTATTTAAAAGACTCTTCTTGCTAATGAGTCTTAATAAATTTGCAGCTTAGTACCTCGTAATCCTAAATGCAGATGCCGCTCTCAGCAGTGAATATTTATCGATTAAATATTCTCTTGCAATTAAAATTAGACCTGCTACAATTGCTTATGTTTCTGTTTTGTGTCTGTTATTTTAAGCATTTGTGTCTACTTTTCCAAATGTCCTATACAATAGGTTACAAGCTTTTTAGATTGAACTGTAGGAAGTTTTGAGGATAATATGTTTAAGACTTTATAGTGCGATTTTATATTTATTAAGGTCGTGCTGCTTCTGGGTAGAAAGCCTTCATGAATGATTTTGTCCCATTCCTTTCCTTTGGTTCTCGGTTTGTGTGCATTGTAGCTGAGCTACCCTGTGTGTGATGCCCAGTGGCTGGCTGGGCAGGCGTGCGACCTGGGATTCAGTGGGCATGGAGCAGAAGGGGGAGGAGATAGATGCTCCACTTTGTTGGTTTGAATGGGAGGGAGGGTGTAGGTGGGTAGAGTCTGTAACCGGGAATGTTGGGAGTACAAGGGAAAGAATATCCGGGCATCTCAGATACATGTATTTGTGTAACCCGTTAACTGACTGCAGGGACCCCTTGCCCGGAGACAGAGATGAAGCAGATCCTAGTCCCCCCTGTTAGGAGGGGCTGGGTCAGGTCAGGGCTGCAGCACAGTCTGGGATCACACACAGTGGGATGTGGGGGACGCAGGCGGGAAGGACAGGCAGCCGCAGAGCAGGGCCACGTGTGCCAGGCTGGGCTTCCCTTTCCCAGGGTCTGCAGGTGCTGCAAGGTGGGAGGCTGGGCACTGGGAAGGACAGAGATGAACTTGGCAGTTCTGGACCTCTTCAGGCTTGGGTTGACGGGTGAGTTAAAAAAAAAGTGTTGGGGTCAGTGAGCAAAGCCTGTCTTTCCAAAGTGGCGGAGGGTGGGGGCACCAAGAAAGGGAGGGGCGGTTCCAGGGCAGTGCAGACTCCTGTGGATGGCAGGCCAGGCTTCTTGGTGAAGGTGGGGTGTTTCTGGAGCATCTTGAAGGATGTGTCAGTGTCCTTGGGTCGGGGAGACGGGGAGGGCGTACGGCCTATGGGATGCAGCTTGGTTTGGACGAGCAGGAGCCAAGGTGAGCTGGCTCCCTAGGAATGGCAGGCAGACTGCTTGGATTAGGGAGGGGGTGGCTGGGGACCAGGAGCAGGCCACGATGTGAAGGACTTCCGTGAGGGGTGAGGAGGCTGTTTCTGGAGTGGGAAAGCCGGGAGCCTCTTGAACGGTCTTTTGGTTGGTGCCTTCATTTATTTGATCAGTATTTCTGCAGCACTTTCTGTGTCTCTGGCTCTGTGTTTGGCACTGGGAGATAAGAAGGGAGAAGAACCAAGTCGCTGTCCCTCATGCGGCCTGCAGAAAGAGAGGGGGTCCCTGCCTTCCTCTCTCTGCCTCAGGACAGACTGGGGTCTCACCATGGGAAGGAGTCCACTCTCTCAGAAGTCTGGGCCCCAGGGCACTGCTCACCCTGTGTCTCTACCTGTACCTTTTTGCTTGTTTCACAGCATCTATTGAGTGCTTGCTGTGTGCCACGCTGTGCACATGCATGGGATTCCTGCAGAAGTGGTGATCTCTGAAGGCAGGGTTGCAAGAACAGATAGGCCGGAATGGCGACCAGGGTCTGGCACCAGCAGGGAGAATGTGCTGTGCTGCTCTAGGGGCCTGTCAGGAGGAGGAGGCGGGCAGCCAAGACAGGGAAAACTGGGCGGGGACGAGGGCCTGGAGGCTGCAGGGGCAGGTGGGTGGGACTCAGGCTGCTGGAGGAGGAAACTGGGTGGTTCTTTGGCGCCGTGCTCACTCATCATTCAGGGCACGTGTGCTCATCATGCCTTTGCCATGTTCTGGGCCCGTGCTGGCGAGCAGTGATGTCATCCCAGCCTTCAAGTGTCCCCAGACAGCCCCGGGAGACAGGCCCATGCACATCCTGTATGCCCGGGGGGGAAGGATGAGCTCTGGGCATCCAGGGGCAGGGAACCCACCAGGTTGAGGGGTGCTAGTCAAACGTGGGCATGGACTGGGGGAAGGAGGTCAGAATGGTGGGGACCATCATTTCCTATCCCCTAAACGCTGACCCAGGAGCTACCTTAGGAGTCTCTCCTTCTCTCCTCCTTACTGTAATGGAAGATTTGGGGAGCACCGTGAAGGATGCCAGTCACTCATTTCTGATGTGGTGTTTCCCACGCGTCTGCCCTTTGCAAGTGCTAGGTCACAAAAGAGTCTTGGAAGATGGTGCGGAGAAAACCCGGCAGGCACTTCAGGGTCATAGGCAGGAGAAGGGTCCCCCAAGTTTAGGCCACCTCTCAGTCACTCTGAATCCGAGGCTTCATGTTCCACTCTCCTGGGAAGCTTTTGTAGATCTTGGTGTCTGGGCCAACAAAGCCAGTTGGAGCCTTGGGGTAAACTGAGGCATCAGGGTTTGTACCAATTGCAGCCTGCCCCAGGCTGGGCAGGGGTGGGGGCAGCAATGATGCGGTGGCTTTGGGCTTTGGGCTGCCTTCTTGACCTCTTGGGTGCACGTTAGTGGTACCGGGGAGCTGGGGAACTGCCAATCTCTGGGGTCCCCGGGGATTCTCACGTGTGCCCAGGGTGGAGGCAGCTGCTCTAGGATGTGTGGGTTCCACGTGGGACAGGGCAGGGCATGCACGGACCAGCTGGGAGAGAGGACCCACTGAAGGCAGTATAGCTGGGCCCGGGTGCCTGGGCTTGACCGACAGCGTGCTGTCCCAGAGGCTCAGCCGAGAGGGTGGGGTGGGGTGGCTGGGCCCAGCTCTTCGCTTCCGGACCCTGAACCCAGGACCGAGGAGAATCTGTCATTTGTCCAGTTGAAAAAGACAACTGAAGCTGCACTTGAATATGAATCTACTTCAAGACCTGGCAAACTAATGGCTTTTTCCCCCAATCTGTTCACGATTTGTCATTAATGTGATCCCGGTGGTCTTTTGAAGAGCACTATTCTTAATGGATGAGTAGGAAATGCTCCTTTAATGAAGAAAGATGGGAAACTTGGCTCCTGTCATTTACAGAGGAATAACATATACTCTAGTCCAGAACATATCGTTAAACCACCATTAATGCGATTTAACATTTAAATTCCCTGTGAGCACGGCAGTAACTTTTTAAAAATGAGCACTGTAGAAAATTATATTTTTGGCTCATTTTTTAATAACTACTTCAGAAACATTGAACAATAATTAAACACGTAACATTTGTTCTGGTGAGCAGAATGGTTAAGAATGATCAGTGAGGTGTTGGCATCACCCTTTTTTCTCATGGCGTGTCAAGGTAGGATCGCACATGAACCCGCAGGAGGGATGCGTATGTCATGGGGACAATTTTGATATAAGTATATGCAGGTATTATTGTTTTACATTTATGATTAGTGTTTTTATAGCATGCTAATATGGCAATTAAGTTTTCTGTAGTTCTGTCATTTAAAATTCATTGCATACTTGAATATGTTTCGTTTGCATAATTTCCAGTCTGGCTTAATTATCTGAAGGCCCCAACTTGCACATGTGTTTTCCTTTAGGGATGGGAGTATCAGGAGTGTGGGGGGGGTGCTTTTTATTGCCTCTGTTCCTGTTATGACATCCTGGCCTTTTAGAATTTCTCTTTTAATAAGTGAAGTTAAAATCTGGGAGTGGGGAGAAGGTGTGAGTCCTCGTTCACGGTCACTAAGACGCCTGTGGTGTTACCGCGTGTGACGGATGGAAGGCCGCCCACACCGTTCCCTGGCTCATACCCCTCGTTGCCCCACTGCCCTGGATGGAAGGCCAGCTCTGGCCTGGCCCACAGGGCCCCCCACCGGCCGCTGCACACACGTCCCTGCTTCTCACCTGCCACGTGCTCTGGCCTTGCCGAGCGGCAGCCTGGACACGCTGCCCGGTGCGCTCGACGCAGGCGTGTGACCTTTCTCGGGGCGTCTGCTCTGCTTCTCCCCCTGCAGCACTGTGTTCTCCAACACCAGGGCTGACTCCAAACCAGTCCAAAGCCGGCCCAGAACCGCGTGCTGATACTTGTTGCGCAGTAGCTCAGACCTCTTCCTCCCTGGGCCCCCAGGGCTGGGGCCCTCTGGGGTATGGTGGTCCTGCTGCACAGCACAGCATCATTCATTCGTTTGGCAAGTCTGCACTGAGTATCCGTGGTGTGCCCCGCGGGACAATGAACGTGGGGGGCTTGTGGGGGCGGAGATAGCCTGAGCACAGGGCAAGACCTCCTGCCCT